GAATAAAAAAAGGTTATTGTCGGATAGACTTATAATTTTGCAGGAAGTTAGGGAAAATTGATACTGAAAGAATGAAAGAATGAAAGATTTATGAATTTACAGGATTTGGAAATCTTTAATAATTATATGAATAAATTCGTTTAAAGGTGTTACAATGCGTAAGTGATGATCGAAAGACATAAATGAATGTTACGCAATGCAATACTACATATTCTCAATAAATTTGAAACGTAAGTCAATATGTTTCATATTCTTTCATTTCGTCAAAATGTCAATTGCCAAACGACCAGAAAACATCGACAATCCATTAGACATAATTAAAATGTCCAACCAAGTTAAATATTTGTATTTAGAAGATAAATCACAAGATTTTCTTAATGAAATTATTAAAGAAATGTATGATCTGTATAATGAAGAAAGATTGAAAGGCAAAAGTTTTAGTTCAATTTTTGACTCGTTAGAACAATTTCTAGTAAACAAAAAGAAAAATCCAATTGATATTATTAAACATTGTTTAAATAATCAAATCGATCCTTTGGCTCAAATCGTTCTTGCAATTTGTTATTATTATGGTAAATGGGTTGAAAAAGATGAAAATAAAGCATTCATTTACTCTCAAAAATCTGCAGAGATGGGTAACGCTTATGGAATGTTTGCACTTGGTAATTGTTATAAAGATGGAATTAGTGTTGAAAAGAATGAACATAAGGCATTCATCTATTTTCAAAAATCAGCAGAGATGGGAGATGCTAGTGGAACAAATAATGTTGGATTTTGTTATCAAAATGGAATTGGAATTGAAAAGGATGAACATAAGGCATTCATTTATTATCAAAAATCTGCAGAAATGGGAGACGCCGATGGAACATATAATGTTGGTTTTTGTTATGAAGATGGAATTGGTGTTGAAAAGGATGAACAAAAGGCCTTTGAATATTATTTAAAAAGTTCCGAATATGGAAATTGCTGTGGAATGCATCATGTTGGTTTATGTTATCAGAAAGGAATTGGTGTAGAAAAGAATAATGATTCGGCTTTTGAGTGGTATTTAAAATCTGCTCTTACTGAACATGAATGTGATTATCATTATAAATATTTCCGTTGGATAAAATACGATAATTTTAGAAACATTAAGGAAATAGGTAGAGGTGGGTTTTCAGTAGTGTATAAAACATCGTGTGAACCGTACAAAGAAGTTGCAATCAAGATAATGAAAGATTCGCATAAAAATCAAAAACTCTTTTTAAACAAGGTATTTATTTTTTTATTTACTGTACGCGTAAATTTATATTATTTATGAATTAATTGTAATTTGTTTATTTATTATTTATTTATTTTTAGTTAAAGGCGTATCATAAATTTGGTAAATATTATGGCATATCAATGGATAAAAATACCGGCGATTTTATTTTAGTGTCAAGTTACGCAAAATTCGGATCATTACGTGAAAATCTTAAAGATATATTTAAATTGGAGTGGAAAATTAAACTAAAAATATTACGCGATATTGTTTATGATCTATCACTGATTCATTCTAACAAATTTATACATCGAGATTTACATTCTGGTAATATTTTGATAAAAGAGCGTTATAAAGCTTATATTTCTGATTTAGGTTTATCAATAACATTTGATAAAAAACAAGATGACCACCTTTACGGAGTTTTACCATATTTGGCACCGGAGGTTTTGAAAGGAGAACATTTCACTCAAGCTGCCGACATTTATAGTTTTGGGATTATTATGATTGAAATATCAACTGGACAAAGGCCTTTCGATGGTTACAAATTTAATACTGAATTAGCAGTAAAAATTTGTTATGGATTGCGACCTGAATTTAATATAGAATCACCAAAATGTTTTGTCGAATTAGCCAAACAATGTATTAACTCAAATATGAAAAAAAGACCCACAGCTGTTGAGATCCTTAATAAACTTGAAAAATGGTATGAACTTATGCTCATCAATGAGGATGATTATAGTGATAACGATTACGATAGCGATGATTATAGTGATAATAATTATGACAGCGAAGATTATAGTGATGATAACAATTATGATAGCAATGATGATTATAGTGAAGATGATAGTG